ACAGGGGACGGCGCAATAACCTCCGCATCAGGGGCATAGCAGAGAGTGTCGGCCCGACCCATCTCCAGGCCTTCCTTACAGACATGTTCAAGGCCCTCGCCCCAGAGGTGCCGCACGACATGTTCCTGATGGACCGGGCACACAGAGTCCCGAAGCCTGCTTTTCTGCCTGCAGATGCACCCAGAGACACTCTGATCCGTCTCCATTATTTCCACATTAAAGAGGAAATCATGAGAGCGACCCGCACGAGGAACAAAAGAGACACCGACCCAGCCTACCAGCACATCCACATCTATGCTGATATCTCGGCGTTCACGCTGAAAAGAAGAAAAGAATTCTCCGCCATAACGACTCATCTTCACCAACTACACATGCCGTACAGGTGGGGCTATCCGGTTAAATTGGTGGTACAGAGGAACGGAAAGCCTACTGTCCTGCATTCCCCAGAAGAAGGAACGAAGGTCCTCCAAAGCTGGGGCATTGACATGCAAGCTAAAGGGCGAGAGACTCAGAGACTCACTCCATCATGGAGGAAGGTCAAGCCCTAATATGTCCCTGTGAGGAGGTGCTGAGACTGTAAATGCTCATCCAGACCAGGCCTGTATCAAGGGTGTACTAATGTATTGTAACATGGGGCAACAATTGTTTTGAACGAGAGAGATGCATGTTAATGGGAGACGGGAAGACTGGGGGCTGGGGATGAGGGCGGGGGGACCGTACATATTGGGATCTGACCCCCACACGCCCGATAGGGACCCACTGCACACGAGGTGAGAGAGTTACAGCCCTAAAGGAGGGTGAAGGGCCACTTAGAGACGCTGATTAATTTACTACGGGCGAGTGGGCGAGTAGGCGAGTGGGCTTCCCCCTCTCCCTCCCCCCCAGGGTCTCTTTAATGCTGGTTATAAAAAAAAAAAAAAAAAATACAAAATTATTATTATACTGTAGCCACGGCACCACCTAAACGCAGGGCACACGCAAATTCCGGGACATGCTGGAATATAGGTGTCTATTATAGCGGAAGAGACACTTCTGCGGGTGCCAGACTACCTGTCCAGAGCAAACTGAATGCTACATACACCCTACCATCACACCCTACAAGCCTTTCAGTCAGACGCAGTCACAGACCTCCCATACGTACTGTATATCATTAGGTCACTGCAACCTTACACGGTCAAACTAGAGGCCAAAGCCGCTGAACTGCAGCCAGGACGGAAGCCGTAAGCTTCCACCCCCAAAGCACCGCACACAGGTGCAAAGCCGGACACCCGGCACGTCAGGATACATTCCTTTTATCTTACGTTGTTATTATTACTGTTTATATGATTATATCTGTTATGTCTGAGGTTCACAAAAAGCATTCCCGAGGGCAACAGAATCCATTGATTGATGACGAGGTTCTGAGAACACCACCATCCAAGCGGAAGCATTCGTTAACACAGCTAGAGGTACAGAGGGGGAACCCCCTGGGTTCGAGAGAACTGGGACACCAGAGGACCCCCGCTTATAGGCTAACTACACAAGGCCACACACAAGACCATGACCACCTACCACCGTGAAAATATACTCACACAATGTCAGAGGACTAAATTTCCCAGTTAAACGACACCTCCTCTATAAGGAAATACAACATAAAGACATAGACGTGCTCTGTTTACAGGAGACACACTTCAGGGCGGGATCACACCCCACCATCTTACAAAAGGACTTCCCGATACAATTCCATGCAACCACAACAAACAAGACGAAAGGTACGTCGATTCTAATTAGTAAAAACGTCTCGTACATTCCCCACTCGCAACACATCGATCCAGACGGCAGATTTGTTATCATAACAGGCACAATCAACGACATGCAGTACACTATAGCTAATATCTATGCCCCGAACACAAATCAAATAAATTTTCTCCACAAAATCATACTAAAACTACAACATATCCAACAAGGCACTACCATAATATGTGGAGACTTTAACCATGTGTTTGACCCTACAATCGACACCACACTGGCCACGTCTAAAGCACGGACTGCCCCACTCAAAAAACAAAGTAGAGCACTGAGACACCTCCTCCACCGCCATCATCTATACGATGTGTGGAGAGCCCATCATGTGGGTGAGAGGGGATACACGTTTTTTTCCGCAGCACACAACACCTACTCCCGCATAGATGGGTTTCTCATCTCGGGAGCAGCCATGTCACAAATAACCAACTGCGAAATAGGGCTCATAACGTGGTCTGACCACGCCCCAGTGGAACTGATACTCAAAAACAAGTACGACCCTACCCATAGAAGCCCCTGGCGTTTAAACACGGCGCTACTGCGAGATAGCAACTTTACTGAGGAACTAAAGGCAAGCATGACGCATTATTTCCAAGCCAATGACTCCACAGACACCTCAAGAACCACCTTGTGGCAAGCACACAAAGCGGTCATAAGGGGTTTGCTCATACGGAGAGCATCCTTTTTAAAACAACAGGCCAATTCCCAACTAATAAATGCCCAAAAAGACCTCCAGCGTCTTACCTCTCAAAATCAACATACACCCACTAAGGAACTGAGAACACGCATTGTACAGATAACGGAACAAATACACAAACTATCCCTAGAACAAGTGGGGCGACATTTGACTAGACTTAAAGCTAGGAACTACACACAAGGCAACAAAGCAGGCAAACTCCTAGCACAGAGAATTAAGACACAGCAGGCGGCCCAAAAGATAGCATACATGACATCCCCTGAGGGACACAAAATAGTAGCACCCAAAGACATTAGTAACGTTTTCGCCAAATACTATGAGTCACTGTACAATCTCAGAAATGACCGTTCCACCCCTCAACCGAGGGAACCGAATATAAGCGAGTTCTTGGAAAAAATCAAACTGCCCAAACTCACCTCTGCCCAGCAAGACTCCCTCTCGGCCCACATCACGGAACCTGAAGTGTTCAAAGCCATAGCCACATTGCAAGCGGAAAAAGCCCCAGGCCCGGATGGCTTTGCCAATGGGTACTACAAAAAATTCCAACAGATTTTAGTCCCGCACATAACACATGCATTTAACGAGGCAGTTGTAAAACGAGCGTTGCCACAAGAAGCTCTGAAAGCCCATATAATCACGCTCCCCAAACCAGGTAAACCACCAACGCACCCGCAAAACTTTCGCCCGATTTCGTTACTCAATACCGATACAAAACTTTTCGCCAAAATATATACTACCAGATTAAGTGACATACTCCCACAGGTGATACATAATGACCAAGTGGGGTTTGTGAAGGGACGCCAGGGAGGCGACAACACAAGGAAGGTCATAGACATTATACACAGCGCACGCAAACAGCGAATGGAATGCTTAGTCATTTCGTTGGATGCGGAAAAAGCCTTTGACCGCTTGGGCTGGGGGTTTCTGGAAGCGGTCCTATGCAAATTCGGATTGCCGGAGATGTTCCGCTCAGCGGTCAGGGCCCTATACCACAGCCCATCTGCACAGGTGATCACAGCGGGTTTCACCTCTGAAACCTTCCGCATAACTAATGGAACGAGACAGGGATGTCCGCTCTCCCCGCTGCTGTATGTACTAGCTCTGGAACCGCTGGCGGCACTTATCAGAGCAAACAAAGCTATTCATGGGGTCCATATAGGGGACAGAGAATTTAAGATAAATCTATTTGCAGACGACGTCCTATTAACGTTGACTCAGCCCATGATATCCCTCCCGAACCTAATGGCGACCATCAAGGAATATGGTCTAAATTCCTATTACAAACTAAACGTCACCAAATCCCAAGCCATGGGTATAGGAATCCGAGAGGACCTTCTGAGACAACTCAGAGACGCCTTCTCTTTTGATTGGCGGACAGACAATATCACATTCTTAGGAATACACATACCCCCCCATCTGCCCAACTTGTTCAAACTCAACTTTGCCACACTTCCCAAATCGTTTGCAGATACTCTGCGAACATGGGAGGGAAAATTCTTATCATGGCTAGGTAGACTAGCCGCCTTTAAAATGACCCTACTTCCCAAGCTCCTCTACCTCCTCCGCACAATTCCCATACGAATACCAGGAAAATACTTAGCCAAGTTACAAACAATGATGGTAAGATTCGTATGGGCGAACCGTAGAATACGGGTAGCTACAAAAATTTTGCAGAAACCGGTGACAGAGGGGGGTTTGGGGATGCCGAATTTACGGACGTATTACTGGGCCACACAGTTGGCGGCTATTGCAACTTCGCACTCGGGGACAGAACCACCTCAATGGGTATACATAGAGTCTCAATGGGCCTGCAAACACGGACTAAGGCACATATACTGGACACCTCATACACCAAGCTTGACAACCGCAGACATGTTACCCCCAACGAGGGCTATGCTACAAATATGGGAGAAGGCAGGGGCCGCACAGGGGGGAGGAGGTCCTAACATAGGTAACATGCCAATAGAGAGTATCCAAGCACACATCCACAACTTCGACTACACACCATGGCTCGCAGGGGGCTGCACGCACTTACGACAAATATGCGAGGGAGGTAAAATAATACCATTCCCGATATTGCAGTCTAGGTTTTCTATACCGGCCAAACACATTTTTCCCTACCTGCAGCTAAAATCCTTTGTGTCCGCCCTCCCAAAATGTGACAACCCTGAAACACAGCCCAAACACCCCCTGGAACAATTGTGCTTAACTGAGAAGACTCCCACAAAAATCATCTCCAAATTGTATACGACCCTGACGAACACACATGCCAACTCCCAAACGGACTTCAGAGACAAATGGCAAGCTGACCTGGGGCACGAGTTAGAAGACAGAGATTGGAAACTAGCCTTCAGAGCACACAAAAGTCTCACCATGTGTGCCTCTCACCTAGAAACAATGAGGAAAATCTTATATAGATGGTATATGGTCCCAGACAGACTTGCCACAATATACCCAGGCACCAACCCAGATTGTTGGAGAAACTGTGGGGAACGGGGTACGATGTTCCACATATGGTGGACTTGCCCAGCTCTGACCCCATACTGGAAACAAGTGGAGGAAATTGTCACTCACACGTTAGGGAACACATACCACTTGACACCTGAACAAGGCTTACTATTCATGAACCTAAATCACTGGCACAAACCAGAAAGGCAACTAATATTCCAAACTTTAATAGCAGCAGTGACTCTGATAGCCAGGTGCTGGAAACAACCCCGACCAAACAAGCACTGATAAGTCAAATCTCCACAAATTGGGAATACGAGCACATGGCTAGTAAATATTTAAGCACGAATCATAGAATTAGGGAAGCGTACACTAAATGGAAGTTATACAGAGCACAGCATAGTACCACTTGGTACAAAGTGGGACACCGGAAGGGATCCTCATACATACAAATAGGTGAAGGTCTCAGGCCGAACCAAGGCCACCAAATGAGCACTCCTACCTATAGCCACATAGGCGCGGTGATAGGTGACCACCAAGTGCGACCAATCTCCATCAGGACAACCACGTCTCCACAAAGCAACCTATATAGGGAACACACCTTATCTGAGTGCAGGTTTACGCAAAAAAGTGAAGCTCAGACATGTTATACTAGTTTAAGTTTATAACCCTGTTGGTATATGTAAAACCACGACCCACCCACCCCACCACCCCTACCTTCGGTGTTTCCCATTCCGTTGGTAGCCACGCGCAACTCGAGCGCCAAGCCGAGTTAGTCCCTGGAAACAACAAGTCAGCAGCTAAACGAACTAGAGGGTACATGGGAAACCCCATAATTACAAAGAGGTATAAGTGGGTACCCGACTACTACCACTACTCAGCTTCTAAACCCCAGGGGTTATCTCTAATGGTATTTGTTGTCTAATGTGTACACATATTGTTGTCATGCACGACTACTACACGATATTTTAAACCTAATCCTCCAAATGAGGATGGAGAGCCTGGAAAGCTCACGGCAATGTAACAATGTATGACAACTCCCCTTCCCCCCCCCCATCTTACTTTCCGTATCCCCCCCTTTTTTCCTTCTGTGAAAATAAAAATTGTCAAATTGAAAAAAAAAAAAATAATCCTACCAACATGTGAATATTATTATTATTTTACTAAGCTATTGTAAGTGAAGCCATAATTACCAAAAGTAATATCTGCCATTTTTTCAGAGTGGCGGCAGCCATCTTGGAATTACAGCATTGCATTTGTAACAGCGACAGTTTTAACTTGGAAAAATAGTTGGTAACAGTGTTTCAATGCTATTTTATGGTTTTAATGAAGTTGTTTGAATTCTCAATTCGACCGATCTGATATACATTACTAGCGTAGTGGTGCCACCCTTGGCACAGATATAGTGTTCAACTACATTTCCCATAATTCTCTGCCAGCTGTACCCTTTATATTATTTAGTCGTGAATTCCCAGAATGCTATGTCAGCCAATCCAGTGGGATTAGGAATAGACACTGCAGTTCCTATTTACATGGGGGGGAGGTTAATGACCTTTGGGTAGGTTCTGGAGCTCTGTAGACCCTCCAATCACATTTGTTTGTGTATTGGATTCATGTTGGTGCGCATGCATGTTGTTCTTACTGGCAACTCTCTGGTGGCCCACAGGGACTTTAAAAAGTAACCACCAAAGGTGATAATGGAGTGGGATATGGCGCTATATTACAAATGCATGCAGCTTAACCCAGTGCCACAAATCACTCAAAAACAAGCACATTGATACACAGAATAAAAATAAATAGCCATTTTATAGACCTAATAGCCCCACACTCCCAAGTGAGTGCAAAAGACAATGTTAAAAATTAACCAACCCCCAGGGACTGCTCATGTAAAGAGTAATGCTGAAATGCATTGGTAAGGGCATTTAATCATATAATTGGGTATCGCTGAAGACCTTTCTCTAGTCTAGTGTACCTAAAAACAGGCCATCCATCAGTGTACCAACTCAGCATTTGGTAATAAGAGATGAAAATGATGACTGTCCTGCCAAATTCAGGGCAGTTTTGCAGTACATAATGGGCTGTGGGGGTGGTCAATGGAGGTTTCTAAAAATAAACATGTACAAGCTTCCGCCATCTTGAAACACTCACAACTCCTTGGTGTTGGCTTACGAGTTGTATCACATACGGAATCCAGTTGGTATACTTTTTTTTCACAGTCAGACATTTTCTCTCCAACAGATAAAATTGCAATCTCATTTACAAATTATTGTAAGAGATCTGAACTATATCTAGGTCAATTTTCTCCACAGGCGCAAGTAGGGGAGATAATTAATAGTGTGAGAACGATCAGTTGATGCAGAGGAAGATGCAAAGTAATGATATCAATACATTCCTTCTTATCATCTAAAACACACATACAAAAAATAATAGAACTACAAAACAAAGGGGTTTATTCGCTAAACAGTCTGCGTATAATTCCCAACTCAGCTAATTAATTTTTTATTTTATTTTGTAAGCTAATGTTTACACAGCCAGAAGTTGCTATGCAGGGAACAGATACCAAACCATTTGCTTTTATTACAGCTGAAAAAATTATATATATATTTAAGTGATACCTCATAATTCAGCCTCGATTTAATATTTTTGGATACGCTTTTCAAATTATTTAATATTTTGAAAAATATTTTAATATTTTGATATTTATTTTAATATATTGATTTTTATTACATTAATTTTGATATTTTAAATATTTGGAAAATAAAATAGTTTATAAAGTTTATAAAAAAAATATTAAATCAGTTGAAAAGCTTATCCAACAATATTAAACAAAGGCCCATATCTGAAAAAAATATATATATTATTTTTTTTTAAATATTGATTTTATTGTTTTGTTTTGTTTTTGTACAAAAAAGTACAATATAAAAATATATTTATGGTAGATATAGTAATACGTCATTTGTCAAGGCAATAGTATTTGTTTATTTTTCAAATTAGATGGTCTCATGCTTCACATGTGCACTAGCCTCTTCTATGGGAAATAATTGGATTGGCTGAGATCATTAGGATTGATGATATCAGCCAATGGGGTGGGGACGGTAATGGAGTGAGCACTGCAGCGAGGGACAAAAGGTTAATAAACTACATTTATACCAGTGGTGGGAGGGAGATGTGGTACCCTTATCATTGAGCAGGTCACTTTAGGGGTAGGAATACATGTTTATAGCCCTAATGCTATAGCGTTCCTTTGAAAAAGAATTCTCCTGACTAAACTCCCTCCACTCACCTCCCACATTCACAAACTGTGTATATGTTTGTGTGTGTTGATTTATGTATGCATGAGATGTGCATGTAGGCCAATGTAGGTATGTTTGTATGTTGCCAAGTATCTGCATGTGTCTGTATGTATGTGTGCTCGTTAGCGTATGTGATAGCTCATGTAAGTATATGTGCTTATTAGTGTTTATATGTGTTCATTGGTGTGTGTGCATGTTAGTGTGTGTACACGTGTATGTGTGTGCTTTCTTTAGTGTGTACATGTCAGTGTGTATGTATGCTGGTGTGAAAGACGTGAAGTGGCCATGTATATATATATATACATACATACACATACATACGTACATACATACATATATACACACACACACACACAATTCTTTTTTTTTTAGCAAATCTAGCGAAAAGTACAATTACTGCAGATAATTGCTGGAGCAGTTTCAAAGGATCTGTGCAGCTGGAAATATACAATGCGGAGAATAACGCAACAGGCAGCATTATATAGCACATTGTGCCCTCCATCCAGTTAAACAATAGCACACACGCTGCCACAAAGACCTGACATTTCTACTGCCACAGACACAAAGCTTCCTCGTAACTACAGCCCCTCCAGCACATTTAGCAGGAAACTTGTAATTAGTGTAAACAATGACGCTTAACAACAAGGCAGCCACAAATACTGCTATGCAATGTGTTACTGCGTGCAAACATAGACAGACAGACAGATAGACAGACAAACAGGCAGATAGATAGATATACAGACATACGTAGACAGACAGACAGACAGATAGATAGATAGATAGAGACACATAGATGGATGGTCGTCTTGATAGACAGACAGAAAGATAGATATACAGACATACTGAGACAGACTGACAGATAGACAGACAGACAGGCAGACAGATAGACAGATAGATATAGACACATAGATGGATTGACGTCTTGATAGACAGACAGACAGATCGATGATAGACAGCCAGACAGATGGATAGATAGATAGATAGAAGAAGCCCATTTAATTTGAAGACTGCAGTTTAATGGGCCAGTTTTACATCCACCCCTGCAAGAAGCCCATTTAATTTGAAGACTGCAGTTACTGAGAATTAGAAGCTATTCTAACCGATTTCCTTCATCTTAGTTACTACATTATTAATTTACTATAACAATGTTACTATTTGTACCTGTAGTTTACTACTCTATAATTTTGTACTTGCAGCTACATGTAATTATAATAATATGGCTGATAGTATTCTGGTTGGCCATTCCCCCTTCCACCTCCCTCTCCCTCCCCCCTCCGCATCCCCCTTGCCACTCCTAGCCATAAATTTATTTAAATAACTGTGTTTCTCTACTCTTTAGGGACAGTTTTACATCCACCCCTGCAAGAAGCCGAATTTAATTTTACTCGGCTCTGAAAAGTGGCAAAACAAGAGAGGGAGGGAAAAGTACGTGAATGATGACAGGAATCTTGACCAATAAGCTAATTCCTTATGTACAATGTAATGCTTGATTGCCCAATCCGGTTTCACTATTCCCTGTCCAATGAAATGAGATAGACATGTGCAATTCATTTCGTTCCGAATGTACATGCCACAGATGCTTACAAATGTCCGAATTGCCGAAGTTCAGAAGTGCCGAAGTTCCGAAGTGCCAAACCAAACCGAATGCCATTGGTCCGAATTGTCGAAGCAGACACATTTTTTTTTACTTACCTGAATTTCTGATCCAAACCGAACTGAATTTTTTGCCCATGCACATCGCTAAACTCAATCATATTGAACATCTGTAGAGTGTGCTGGAACAACAGATTTAATCAATGCTTACCCATGAGGATTGTGAAGGCACTGGACATCCTAAGGCAAAGTTTGGATGTCCAGCATCATTTCTTGGAGTTAAACTCTGTGAAACTGCAGGCAGAGTCTCTAGTGGCTGTCTAGGAGATAGCCTCTAGAGGTAGTCTTAGCACTGCATTGCAGTTTCTCTAAACCTGCAATGATTTATGTTGCTGGGTACAGGGACACTAAACCCACACAAGGCGACACTTCCTGAAGGTAAATTAGGCGGCTGCCTTGGGTGCTGCTTAAAGGCAGCAGCCCTGGCTTTTCTGATAGTTTGTGCTGCTGCCCCTCCTCAATCAAGTTAAATCAAGTCAGATTATTTTGAGCATGCCGCCAGCCATGTTACCGGGTGCTTGGCAGCACTTACATTATTGCTCACTAGCGTCCGGTAGAACACTGGTCCGGCGGCATACATATCAGCCCGCTCAGCCAGGACCCCCTCCCAGACATCCACTGCAGCAGCGGTGGCTGCAGCGCAAGGGCTCCCTTCCTTTTCCCTGTACGTGGGGAGAAGTGGGCGGGAGCATAACAGGAAATATGCTGAGAAAGGACGTGATGGGCAGGCAAGGAACATCAATGAAGGTAAGATGTGTCAGAGTATGTGCATTAGTCTGCTTCAGTCAGTACGTTTGTGTATGTTTGTGTATGTCAGTCTGTATGGGTCAGTGTGTGTGTCTGTATGGGTCATTGTGTGTGTCTGTATGGGTCAGTGTGTGTGTACGTATGGGTCAGTGTGTGTATATGGGTCAGTGTGCGTCAGTCTACATGGGTTAGTGCGTGTGTGTCCGTTTGCATGGGTCAGTGTGTGTCTACTTGAGTCAGTGTGTGTGTTAGTCTGCATGTTTGGGTGGAGAAAATGGGGCGACAATTGTTTTTTGCCTAGGGCAGCAAAAATTTTGCACTGGCCCTGCACCCACATGACTTCAATGAGATGGCCTATAATGTCTATTTAACCTGAAGAGGATGAGCAACAAACCTGGGAACACACTTTGGTATCAAACTAATCAGTACACATCGGGGAAATTAGTAGGAGAATGGTATAACTGCTTGTAAGACTGACAGAGAAACGAGTCAGAATCCCTGAAATAATTCCACAAAATCTGTTTAATTGACTTAAAATAACCTTCAGGATCGATTTGTCGAGGTTAAGAATCGGCAGAATCGAAATCAAAGATGACCTTCCAATACCGGAGGTTCTGCTAGTAATGAATGACTAAGGATAATTGTTGATTCAACTAAAAACACATTTCATGACCAAAGCATGTATGATATAATTTGAAATTAATTATTCCTAATGAAATGCTTTCTCCCACAAGCTGTAAAGATTCTCCTTTTAATTTTTAATTGGCAGGAGATAGAGTTGATATTAATTTGAATTTGTTTTAGTGATGCTATCCATCTCAACAATATAAAGATAATATTAATGTACATCACAAGAATAAACAGTTTCTCCGTTTTGAGATTTGTATTTGGATATTGAAGGTACTTTAGCCCAACTCATTGGTACTCTTTTTATTGACCTAGGAAGGATAAAAGGCCGACTCAACTTTGTCGGCCTCTAAGCACCATAACCACTACAGACCGCTGTAGCAGTTACTGAATGAGTATATTGCGCATACGACACGCAGTTCCACTGGGACAAATCACATTTCTGCCAACTGTCCTAGGTCTATTGCTTGTATTTTTGGGACCCCCATGTAAGATAAAAAAGAAATTGTGCGTGTCCAAATCAGTTTGTCTGAAAAATCTTTTGTTTTGTTTGGAAGAACCAAATTTTGTCCACTGAGAGATTTGTTTTTGTATGAATTTTGTCCAATACATTTTGCTATTTTTTTTTTCTTTAAACCAATCAAATTACACATTATTTTCTTTGTTTTGATCTTTTGGCTGTTTAGTAGATGGTTCCCTTATTTGGTATCCTTAAATGTAGCAATCCCAAATATGGGTCACCAAATTAGGGACCTATCTTTTGAAAGATCATAATTGTTACGGTACACCCAGGTATAAGAGGGGTTAACACCGCTAAGGACGTTCACCTTCCGAATGGAGAAGCAGCTAACGAAAACTCCAATTAGCCGAACAGGAAACATACGAAATAATCCACGAACTAATTAGCCGAACAGGAAATTATACGAATATAAATCCCCCCAAGAACGAGACAAAGCTCTGTGTTGAGGGTCAAGCAGTGATCTGGTTTAATGGGGCTACCTGCCCGGTATTTATGTAGGTCTTCCACAAGGTGGACACTCCCCTAGGGGACCTGGTGGAAGATTGGGACACAAATTGCACAGTGATCAATCACAGACATACATAGTGAAACACTCCCACTAGTACAGTATAATCCCTCCTCTCTATCCTGGAGATAATTGGGAAGTAATCCAATTATCTCAAAGGATAGAGGCAAAACTCAATTACACACATGTTAGCAAAAAGACCTAAAAATACACAATGTTACAAATACGGCATAAAACATATACGTTCAAAATATCCCCTGATAGCTTGTTACCGAATGGCGCTCAGATCACATACATAAAGTTCAATCGCCATGGAGCCAAAGTCTTTCACATAGTCTTTCGTTATACGAATGGGCTCCATGGCATAGCTATCTGGGGTAGCACTGTTCACACAGAGAAACTACCGAATGGACTGGCGTTCGGATAAATGCAGAAGGAGGGAGGTCGGCAGCTCAGTGGTGTTCGTGAATATGTGTCCGTTTTTAGTTCCCTGGCCCCCTAACTCTGTGGAGTAAAAAAGTGTTTCAAATGACCTTTTCTCTATCGCTGTGCCGGACTTGTCATTACTGACCCCACCTCCATGTCCGAGATCATATGTTTTATATGATCTCAGACAATCCAATGCTTTCCTATAGAAAAGGATTGGGAGGCTTTTTTGCATGTGCAGCAAAACGCATACATGTCTACGGGGAACGTTCAACAGAGCGTGGAGATGCTAAACGCAGTGAGTGACTGTCACTAGAGGTGTTACTAGAAAGTATAGACTCTATACTCAATATAGACTGTACGCTCGTTTGAGCAGGGCCCTCTTCAACCCGTTGTTCCTGTAAGTTTTTGTAATTGGCTCATTTATTATTAATTCTCTCCCTTTGATAATATTGTAAAGCGATATGGAATATGCTGGCGCTGTATACATACCAGTAATAATAATAATAAGTCATGTAAACAATGCCTTTTCTCTGAAAAGACAGTGTTTACATTGAAAAGCATCTAGGGGCAGGCTATAGGCACCAGACCCACTACATTGAGATGTAGTGGTTTTGGTAACTATAGTGTCCCTTTAATATTGATCTTTCAGTGTTCTCATTCAACAAATAACCCAATCGCATGGAAGAATTGCACTATCATGTACTCATGGGCTCATTAAATTTGTTATTTAGACAAACCAGTGAATTTGACAATTTTTATCTGAATCACGCTTTGCACGTGGATAACAATATTTGCCTAGAGCTTGGAAACACCCTTCACCCCTCCCCTCCCCCAGACTCTGGCATACCGCCCTTCGGTCACGATCAATTACCGTCCCTACTTCATATCTCCAAATATTGAAAGGTGTGCGGTCAGCTTAACATTCCATTGATTTTTTAAACGAAATTGATACAATGGAAGCAATTCGAATGCTTTTTTTGCGTTCATAATGTCCCGTCAATTTTTGGATAAAGTAAACAGCTATCCTTGTTGAAAAGCTGGCAATGAACCTGATTGTGTGAGTCTGCTGGTTACCAAAACCCCTGGCAGAAAAATGATCTTCCCTTTCCATTGGCTACTCTCCCGGTGACCTGAAACACTATACATTTTGAGTAACATCCTTTATCTGTAGGGAATTCTTCTGGACAACCACAGGGTGGAAGTGCGATCCCTCCTTTTGAATGGTTATATGTTCCACTAATAATTTGTTGTGCAGCTGTTCTGATTTCATTGTTAATCATGCTCTTTGTCTAATATCGCCACTTATTAGAAGTTTGTGAAAGACAAACAGATCCATTCCTGGCTCATTTCATGTTCCAAGCCGAAAAACAGATTTTTTTTTTTTTTACCCAGTGCAACATTATGAAGTCAGCTGAGGCCTTTAAATATTTAAAGGGACACTCCAAACCCCTAAAGGACCTTAACTTGCTGAAGTTCTTCATGTGTGAAGAGCGTGTCGTCTTTTCTTTAATTTAAAAAAAGTGCAGATTTCAATAGAAATTGGCACTTTCATAAATGTACCTTGTTACAACCCCCCGGCTGTCAATCAAACAACCTGTGTGAGTACTGTTACTTTCTGGTTGTTTATCTCAGTGGATATAAGCTCAAGAGGTGACAACAACCCAGACCACCTGCCCTGCAAAGACTTCTCATTGAGCTGCATTGGGAAGTCTGTGATTGGACAGACACAGAAAGTGTCAGCAAAGTTAAAAGGGGAGGGCTTGCAAGGGATGCAAACAAGAGATCTGCAGCTTTTGCGAGCTGCTTTTTAGTATGCCCCAATGAACAATTGCCTAATGAAATGCAAGCATGCTTTCATTATATCAACTAAATAGTTTTTATTTTTATTTGGGCAACGTGTAGGTGTATTATGAAGCAGCTTGCAGCATGTCACATATCCTAATTATGCAGAGCATGATATATTTGCAGCATACAGAGCAGCATGTATCTAGATTGTTTAGAGAACAATGCAATCGCAGAAATGTATAATTATTGTGTATAGTGGGTAATTTCCTATGTCCCTTCGTTTTAGCCAAAATAACAAAACCTATAACACTCTCCCTAACCCAACATTCCCCTTGAAATAAATAACACAGACAGCATGTTGGGACGTAAAGCCATCGCTGGCCGCATTTTTTTAATACATCACCATGGCATCATGGCAGGAAAAAAAACATATAAACAGAACGGCAGTAGAATATAAATAATAACCAAATTTAGCTAGGGTGGTGGCGCTGAGGGCTAAACTCCTCAGCCCACAAGATGATGTGGCTCAACCTAATCCTGCAGTGGAGCACCCGTTGCATCCGCCCAAGCAGAGGCTTAGGGACAGCAAGGGAGAATCTTTGGTACGGCC